ATTTGTTCAAAAATGTTTCCTCGCAAAATTGGATTTTTAGATTGTCTGTTCAATTTAGAGATAAAAAAACTACTGTACTAAAATTTTAATTTAGGGCTTCGTTTTTAAAATATTTGGGAACACACTCCAACTACTGTACTAAAATTTTGATTTAGGGCTTCGTTTTTAAAATATTTGGGAACACACTCCAAAAAAACTGCGGCAAAAGTATTCTTGGATAAATAAATTAATTATTTAAAAAATGAAGCACTAAATCAAAATTTTACATGAATAGTTTTTTTCTTTAAATTAAACAGATAATCTTAAAATGTGTTTATTATTAAAAAAAATTCCAGTGGCGCCTATGGTGAAAAGAGGAGCAGCCCCCCAAGTAACTGCGCCACTGATGTTTTTTTAAATAATTATCCACATCATTACTAAGACATTGACTATATTGTGTACAAAATGTCCACTCAAAAAAAAGTTATAAAATTAAAAGTTTAAAAAAATCCTGTTATTAATTTAAACGTTTCATTTATTATGTCTAATTTCAACCTTGAATAACTATTAAAGGAGTGAATTTACGAAAAAAATATAAGAAATATTTTTGTAGAACGTTCAATTTTCTTCAAAAATATATAGAGTTCATTCCAATATGTTCACTCAAAAACGAGTTATAAAATTTCAAAGTTAAGAAAAAAGAATTCCTGTGTTATTTAAACGTAAAATAGAAATTCACGATGCATCGCGATGAGCGACCTCTAAATATTAATATTAAGAGCTACAATTTTCACAGGCTTCTTTTTTCACTACTAGGAAGATATTTTAATGCGGGCTTTGAAGAAAAAAAAATATTCGATTTTTTTGAACCAGTCTAATATATATATATATTGTGACACTAACTTTATTAAAAAAAAATAAAAATATAGCGCACTTACCTCGGCAACTCTTATTTGTCGACGCTAGGTCGGGATTCAGGTAAGTATGAACGAAAATCTTGAGTCAAGGGCGCCAGTTGCGACAAACTCAACAGGAAGTCGGGATAGAAATTTCACAATAGAACTAGTTTGCAATTTAAATACAATTTAATTTATACTCGTAAACTTAACAAAAATTAAAACATTTGTCGCACTGTGCGATGCCAACATAAATTAAATTGTATTTAAATTGCAAACTAGTGTTATTGTGAAATTTCTATCCCGACTTCCTGTTGAGTTTGTCGCAACTGGCGCCCTTGACTCAAGATTTTCGTTCATACTTACCTGAATCCCGACCTAGCGTCGACAAATAAGAGTTGCCGAGGTAAGTGCGCTATATTTTTATTTTTTTTAATAAAGTTAGTGTCACAAAATTGTAAACAAACAACAAATATATCACACACAATTTTTGAGAATGCTAAAGAAGAGGCCATTAACAAAGCGCGGTCTGAACCTTTATAATCTGTGGTCTGACCGCGCTTTGTTAATGGCCTCTTCTTTAGCATTCTTAAAAATTGTGTGCGATATATTTGTTGTTTGTTTACTTGTGATAAAGTGTTAATTAAACGTTAAAAATGGACAACATATCGATCATGTCTTTTGACTATTACGAAGATTTAAGTTTTGACTTGATAAAAAATGTGCCATGGGCGCAAGAAATGTATAAATATCTATCGCAAGGCTTACAAAAAGGTTTTTTGAATTGGTGTCGTTATGTGATAGCCTTAAGTAGGGACGAAACAAGAATTAAACTATTGGCTGAGGAGTACAAAAGTGACCTTTTCCTGTTTCCTTTTCTCCTTTCCTAGTTTTCACAATAACAAAAGTTCGCCTTGCTTAAGTAGGGGACAATTTCTTGGGTAGTTTTAAAGTTTAAAATATTAGGTGGTATATCCAGTTTTTTAATTTTTTATTTGTTTTAAATAATTATCATATAATTATAATTGATTATGGAGAACCTGTACGTTATAGACCCTTCTTACCTGAGTGAATCAGAAATAGATTACGAGCTTAATATAAGGGATTTAGCTTGTAATAATGTTGATAATAGTACCAAGACAAAATGCTTAAGTATTTGTTTTAAAACGGATGCAAATAAACCTACTACTAGGTATGATATTTCTAATCTTAATTTTGAAACTGAAAAGTCACAATTGGACATTAGTATCAGAACCTTACAGACATGGATTTTGTGTTCGATTACGGGAGTTGTTTCTCCGTTAATATATCGTTTGTCCTATGAGCATGGTCACGATGTGGGCAGGTGGCATACAAAAGATCTTAAACCCTATCTTGACATTAATCTGGATGATTCAGCCGAATCTGATGAGTCTGTAAATACCGACGAGGAATAAGTAATTTTGATTAAAGTGTGAAAGTAAGATTGAATGTGATGCGAAAGTTGTATGAGTTTTTTCTTAATGTTGTGCTGTTTTTTCCCTATTTTGACAAAGAATTCTGCAGAAACCCGAATTGAGACAAATTTAACCCGAACGTGACGAGAGAAACCCCAGTACGTAAGAATTCGTAAGAGACAAACCACCAGATTAGCGACGTTAGTTCATTTATTTTGATTAATTGGTAGTTTTACCAAAAGTTTAAATGTAATTGACACGTTTGACATTTATAATTAATTTTATTAATTAATTTACTTACATGACTTGGAAATTAGAAGGATTAAATTTCTTGCAACCAGTAAGTTGTGTATTTTTGAAAATAGAATTATCTTAAGCATTGCGTTTTAAAACATTTTTATTTTTGGGATTAAATAATTATAGTTTTAAGAAAATGAAATGGCTTTACATTTTCTTTTAATGGGAAGAAGGGGAATGTAACAGACTGTTTTTTTTTTTAGGGGATCTGTCCGGGGTTTTTCTTGCAAGCGCGAGCTGGCTGGGGAATCTGTCCGGGGTCAGTTGATCTCGCTGTTGTTTACGTGCGCTCAATGTTTGCTTTTTTTCTTTCTCAATTTCCTGAACAAGCGTATTGATAAATTGATCCACAGTTTTTCCCCAAGTCATAAATTCATGGCCAGTTTTTTCCCTATATTTTTCAGCCATACTGATCAAACTCTCCTGGATCTCCTGGATCCTTCTTTTGAACTTATTCCTTTCCTTCTCTTCCAACAACAGTTTGCCACCCCTGTTGTGAAACCTGTTTGGACCCGCCGCCGCCTCCTCCAGCTCAGCCAGCTTTTTCCAAACCGTATTGTATTCGTCCAAGAGTTTTAGAATTGCCTTATTTTCATGGCGATATTTTTTCCACCGTTGTATTTCCATATTAAATAATTCCAAATAGTCTTCGGTATATCTATAAGCATTAAAATACTTCGAGCGCCTGCAATTCGGTGCGGTATTTTTCAATGAAAACTTTGATTTTGTTCTTTTTGATATGGTCCAAACGCTGTATTTCTTTGTCGAGGGATTTAAGTACTTCTTTTGGCTGACCTTGATTTCCAGTACAGTCCATAGACGTTCCAACTTCGCCCACTTTTCATTTATTTTTTCCAACATGCAGTTCTTGCTATGAACAAGTTTATTCTGAAACAACAAATATATCGCACACAATTTTTAAGAATGCTAAAGAAGAGGCCATTAACAAAGCGCGGTCAGACCACAGATTATAAAGGTTCAGACCGCGCTTTGTTAATGGCCTCTTCTTTAGCATTCTCAAAAATTGTGTGCGATATATTTGTTGTTTGTTTACTTGTGATAAAGTGTTAATTAAACGTTTAAAATGGACAACATATCGATCATGTCTTTTGACTATTACGAAGATTTAAGTTTTGAGTTGTGCCATGGGCGCAAGAAATGTATAAATATCTATCGCAAGGCTTACAAAAAGGTTTTTTGAATTGGTGTCGTTATGACGAAACAAGAATTAAACTATTGGCTGAGGAGTAAAAAAGTGACCTTTTCCTGTTTCCTTTTCTCCTTTCCTAGTTTTCACAATAACAAAAGTTCGCCTTGGTTAAGTAGGGGACAATTTCTTGGGTAGTTTTAAAGTTTAAAATATTAGGTGGTATATCCAATTTTGTAATTTTTTATTTGTTTTAAATAATTATCATATAATTATAATTAATTATGGAGAACCTGTACGTTATAGACCCTTCTTACCTGAGTGAATCAGAAATAGATTACGAGCTTAATATAAGGGACTTGTAATAATGTTGATATTAGTACCAAGACAAAATGCTTAAGTATTTGTTTTAAAACGGATGCAAATAAACCTACTACTAGGTATGATATTTCTAATCTTAATTTTGAAACTGAAATGTCACAATTGGACATTGGTATCAGAACCTTACAGACATGGATTTTGTGTTCGATTACGGGAGTTGTTTCTCCGTTAATATATCGTTTGTCCTATGAGCATGGTCACGATGTGGGCAGGTGGCATACAAAAGATCTTAAACCCTATCTTGACATTAATCTGGATGATTCAGCCGAATCTGATGAGTCTGTAAATACCGACGAGAAATAAGTAATTTTGATTAAAGTGTGAAAGTAAGATTGAATGTGATGCGAAAGTTGTATGAGTTTTTTCTTAATGTTGTGCTGTTTTTTTCCTATTTTGACAAAGAATTCTGCAGAAACCCGAATTGAGACAAATTTAACCCGAACCTGACGAGAGAAACCCCAGTACGTAAGAATTCGTAAGAGACAAACCACCAGATTAGCGACGTTAGTTCATTTATTTTGATTAATTGGTAGTTTTACCAAAAGTTTAAATGTAATTGACGCGTTTGACATTTATAATTAATTTGATTAATTAATTTACTTACATGACTTGGAAATTAGAAGAATTAAATTTCTTGCAACCAGTAAGTTGTGTATTTTTGAAAATAGAATTATCTTAAGCATTGCGTTTTGAAACATTTTTATTTTTGGGATTAAATAATTATACAAAAACAAAAGTGAATTTAAAAAATACACTTGTGAGCTGATTACCAATATAGAATCCGTGAATTCGAAACCAACTTCAGATTTTGAGAACCGGGTTTTGTTTTAAGATTATTCAAATTTTATGGTCACTGATTCCAACATGAAAGATTTGGAAAAAATTCAGAATAAACTTGTTCATAGCAAGAAGTGCATGTTGGAAAAAATAAATGAGAAGTGGGCGAAGTTGGAACGTCTATGGACTGTACTGGAAGTTAATGTGGCAGAAAGGAGCAACTTTTTAGATGCAAATCAAGGTCAGCCAAAAGAAGTACTTAAATCCCTCGACAAAGAAATACAGCGTTTGGACCATATCAAAAAGAACAAAAACAAAGTTTTCATTGAAAAATACCGCACCGAATTGCAGGCGCTCTGTGACGAGTGCCATTGTGATGTCAACACCACGAAGTATTTTAATGCTTATAGATATACCGAAGACTATTTGGAATTATTTAATATGGAAATACAACGGTGGAAAAAATATCGCCATGAAAATAAGGCAATTCTAAAACTCTTGGACGAATACAATACGGTTTGGAAAAAGCTGGATGAGCTGGAGGAGGCGGCGGCGGGTCCAAACAGGTTTCACAACAGGGGTGGCAAACTGTTGTTGGAAGAAAAGGAAAGGAATAAGTTCAAAAGAAGGATCCAGGAGATCCAGGAGAGTTTGATCAGTTTGGCTGAAAAATATAGGGAAAAAACTGGCCATGAATTTATGACTTGGGGAAAAACTGTGGATCAATTTATCGATACGCTTGTTCAGGAAATTGAGAAAGAAAAAAAGCAAACATTGAGCGCACGTAAACAACAGCGAGATCAACTGACCCCGGACAGATCCCCCAGCCAGCTCGCGCTTGCAAGAAAAACCCCGGACAGATCCCCTAAAAAAAAAAAAAAAAAAAACAGTCTGTTATATTCCCCTTCTTCCCATTAAAAGAAAATGTAAAGCCATTTCATTTTCTTAAAACTATAATTATTTAATCCCAAAAATAAAAATGTTTCAAAACGCAATGCTTAAGATAATTCTATTTTCAAAAATACACAACTTACTGGTTGCAAGAAATTTAATCCTTCTAATTTCCAAGTCATGTAAGTAAATTAATTAATCAAATTAATTATAAATGTCATACGTGTCAATTACATTTAAACTTTTGGTAAAACTACCAATTAATCAAAATAAATGAACTAACGTCGCTAATCTGGTGGTTTGTCTCTTACGAATTCTTACGTACTGGGGTTTCTCTCGTCACGTTCGGGTTAAATTTGTCTCAATTCGGGTTTCTGCAGAATTCTTTGTCAAAATAGGGAAAAAACAGCACAACATTAAGAAAAAACTCATAGTCCAGTCATCTAGGCATTTCACCTCGGAATCTAACGGAATAAGCTGAATTTTTGTACAAACCTTTATTTTAGCATTGCAAATGTTGTCTCAAAAGTCACATATGCCAACGTGTGAGCGGCCTTAGATATTCAAGGTCAAAGGTCGCGAAAATCAATTTTTTGAGAATATCTCCTTTTCTCTGCCTCCTATCGTATTTGCATTTATTATACAAGTTGTAGAGAATAAAATTCTCTACAATTTTTGTTTAAAACATTTTTTTATACGTCCAATCGTTTTTGAGATATAGGGCGCAGAGTGTGGAGCGCTCAGCCATACGTACCTTTAGCGCAAGGTAAATTATTAATCCCAATTTATTATACCGTTTTTTTAATTAATTATTTATTAAATATTACTTAAATAATAATTTAATACCTTATATTTATTTTTATATATTTTTTTTAAACAAATAGTCATTAAATATTACTTACTTTTGACATACAAATAATTAAATAATGAAGTGAATCATTCTAAATATATTCTAATGTTATTCTAATTAATGATAAATGCATTTTAAGAAGAAAAGACATTAAATGAATATGTCTCTGGTCATCTCTTGGATCCAGATATTGCTTTTAAAATAACAGAAATACTATACTGCCCTACTATAGAGAAAGGCAGTAACTGCAAAAAAATGCAAAATGCGTTTTCTTGTGCTATGGTAAAGCTATGGACATTTTGTAATCGAATTCAACACAGAAATGCAGTCAAATATCTCATAAGTTAAAAAAATCAATTAAATACCTACTGCTTTTTTATAAAAATATTGTTTATGCTAATTTTCCACAAATTTCTTGTTTAGCAGTTACTGCCTTTCTCCATAGTAGCCTACTATTAGTAGGGCAGTATAGTGGGCTTGCTATTAAGAAAAAAGGTTAGGTATACCTATATTTAAAGCAAGTTGTGACCCTAGGTAAAGGTCTAGGGTTGTGACAGGTAATATTCGTAAATTTTAAAGGTTAACATGGCTGATTTGTATTTTATTTGTAATAAGTTACTTTCTGAAGGTGATTCTGTGACTTTTGTGCGTGGTATAAAGACTTTAAAAGAAGCAATTATTGAGAGAAATAAATATAAACTACCTAAATACTTTGACTTCTGTGAACGTTCATATTGAGTGTCGAAAATTGTACGCTATAGCGTACTAAAGTAAAATTGCAGCAGCAAAACGTCGCCTTGAAGAGACTGGACCTTTAACGTCATCAACTGTACCTTGTAAAAAAGGGAATGATGTGTTTGATTTTAAAATATTGTGCTTATTTTGTGGTGAAGTCGCAGATGAGGCAACAAAGGCAAAAAAATCTGCAAAGTACAAACGCGTTATAAGTAAATTTTTGAAGATATGACAATTAATGTCAATGATAACGAGGAGAGTGATGATGAGAATGAGTCTGAAATTGCTGGCCAACCTGAAGAAGACGAGGATGAAGAAGATAAAGATTAATAATAATAATAATAATATTGATATAAATAAAAACATTTTTTCCTACTCCGATACAATTATCCTTCATTAAAATTAAATTAAAATATGAGATATATAATATATATGAAGATAAAATATATTTGATTTAAAAGAAATATAAGTATAAGGTATTAAATTTTTATTTTAGTAATATTTATTATATAATTTATTAAAAAAACGGTATAATAGATTGGGATTCACGATTTACGTTGCGCTAAAGGTACGTATGGCTGAGCGCTCCACACTCTGCGCCCTCTACCTCAAAAACGGTTCGACGTATAAAAAAATTTTGTATACAAAATTTATAGAGAATTTTATTCTCTACAACTTTTATAATAAATGCAAATACGATAGGATGCAGAGAAAACGAGATATTCTTAAAAAACTGATTTTTGCGACCTTTGACCTTGAATATCTAAGGTCGCTCACACGTTGGCATATGTGACAACATTTGTAATGCTAAAATAAAGGTTTTCACAAAAATTCAGCTTATTCCGTTAGATTCCGAGGTTGATCCCTTTTTTTGACTAAGATGACTGTACTATCATACAACTTTCGCATCACATTCAATCTTACTTTCACACTTTAATCAAAATTACTTATTCCTCGTCGGTATTTACAGACTCATCAGATTCGGCTGAATCATCCAGATTAATGTCAAGATAGGGTTTAAGTTTTTTTGTATGCCACCTGCCCACATCGTGACCATGCTCATCGGACAAACGATATATTAACGGAGAAACAACTTCCGTAATCGAACACAAAATCCATGTCTGTAAGGTTCTGATACTAATGTCCAATTGTGACTTTTCAGTTTCAAAATTAAGATTAGAAATATCATACCTAGTAGTAGGTTTATTTGCATCCGTTTTAAAACAAATACTTAAGCATTTTGTCTTGGTACTAATATCAACATTATTACAAGTTAAATCCCTTATATTAAGCTCGTAATCTATTTCTGATTCACTCAGGTAAGAAGGGTCTATAACGTACAGGTTCTCCATAATCAATTATAATTATATGATAATTAATTAAAACAAATAAAAAATTAAATATTGGATATACCACCTAATATTTTAAACTTTAAAACTACTCAAGAAATTGTCCCCTACTTAAGCAAGGCGAACTTTTGTTATTGTGAAAACTAGGAAAGGAGAAAAGGAAACAGGAAAAGGTACTCAAGATTTTCTGGGCCCCACGTTGGGCGCCAATTTTGTGACACTGACTTTATTAAAAAAAAATAAAAATATAGCGCACTTACCTCGGCAACTCTTATTTGTCGACGCTAGGTCGGGATTCAGGTAAGTATGAACGAAAATCTTGAGTCAAGGGCGCCAGTTGCGACAAACTCAACAGGAAGTCGGGATAGAAATTTCACAATAACACTAGTTTGCAATTTAAATACAATTTAATTTATACTCGTAAACTTAACAAAAATTAAAACATTTGTCGCACTGTGCGATGCCAACAAAAATTAAAACATTTGTCGCACTGTGCGGTCATCTATGGTGCGATGCCTACCGCGCCTGCGTTAGAAGCAACAGCGCATGGCTGGGAATTTCGCAGTGAGAGTTGACAGCACCAAAACAACTTAAATAAACGTTTGTTTTACAAAATTCCAAATAAATTAAGGCCCTAACTATTTTAAAAACTTAATCGAATGTCTTTTACACTAGGTAAGTACTCATTACTTTTAATAATAGGTTACAAACTATATTTTTTACAGATTTAAGTTAATGGCTTACTTGAGGGTAGTTTCTAGCTGAAACCTTACAAATCCGGCAACCACAAGGCACGGAAACGCTGGATTTAAGTCCACAACTGGCTGGTTACTATTCCACTTCACAATCAGGTTTTGTCGAGAAGTCCTGAGTATCCAATCAACTTATTTTACGTTACTTGTAGATCAATTGCAGCCTTTCAATGGAATCCAAGTTTTATCTAGGACTGGTGTCAATAGAACAGTAAACTAGTCCTCACAAAACCAACCGATTCCCAAAAATGTTTACCATGGAGGCAAATCCAACCAAAAAAAGGCCTAATTACGAAAAATACAAGAAATTGTAGGAAAATATCCCAATTGTAATGTACAGCAGAACTTACCCACAAGATTTGAGCCTTTTTACACAAATTTCAACAATTGATTACTTAAATATCTTAGATTTTGGGCAATTAATTCACCTTAAGTGTGCCACAAAATCAGATTCACAAATGGCTGACCATATTAGTAAATTTTAGTTTGTTCAGTGGCAGACTGTGCTATACAGCCTGCTTTGTTATACAGTATGTACCGTGAAAAGATAATAGCAATTTAAACTTAAATAAAAATTATACATAATTACAATTCAATCTTAACTAAAACACAAAGATTAATTTACTTACCTATACCCCAAGCAGCATTTTTGGTTCCAAAAACCATTGCCAAAGTGGTGATAACTTAAATTAGTTAAGTATACTAAACAGCTACTTTAATTTTTACTTAAAAGTAATTTTAACTTTTAAATAGCAATATTTTGTAACAGTAACTTAATTTTTCCTTAAATGGTTACTATAAAGTAATAAACATTTAAGTAAAACTTGGTTGCCCCCAAGAAGACTTTGCAACTTTAAAAAAGGTGTTATAAGTAAAAAAAACTTTCAAGTAAATTTAATTTGTAGCAGTTACTTTCGGTTGCTACCTAAAGATTACATTATAATTATTTTTACTTTGTAGTCCCTTTCCAAGTTAAAATCTCGAAACTGGAACATGAGTTAAAAACTACAAAGTTAATAACTTAAAAGTTATTATTTTAGTATTTGGAACGTTTATGGTACTAACCAAAACAACCGTAAAGTGGAAAAAACTTTAAAGTAGCGAAAACTACTTCAAAGGAAAATGCTTCTTATCGGCCATTTTTTACTGTACAGTACCACGTGGTAATGTAAATAATAAATTATTTTAATTGTTTGTAAATGGTTGTTTACTTTTTAATAAATAGTAATTTTGTTGGCAATAGACGGTATTAATAATGAAATCAAAAAAATTAATAATAAATATTAAATTTTTTTTATTTATAAACATTATTAAATAAATAATTTGTTTATACTTAAATATTGATGAAGCGCATTTATTTTACAAAAACTAAATTCATAAGTTCAACAGTAAACTTTAAAGGGTTTATAAATTTACCTGCCTAATTAAACATTATATTGTTATTCTGGAAGTTATAAACTACCAGTACATATTTAATAAACGACGACATTGAAAAGCCAAGTCCGTAGTGATTCCATTTAAAAAAGGAGGGATAGTATAATCTAATATAAGTTTGACAAAGACAGTTAATATAGAAGTAAAAACAAATAAATAAAAGTAATTATAACGCTCTAGCAACGATACTGGAACGTTCTAGTAACGTAGCAGCTACGTTCCAAATAGTAGCAGGGTTTATAGCTAGTTACATATTTGCTACCTTTTTGGAACTCAATAATTGTTCCCCACTTTAGTCGTAACGTAGTAATGAAAGAGTAATATAAAGAGACCGGCGACTGTCGCAAAACACTTTGAAGTTTCTTCAATAGTCCCATATACGTAACAAATACTTAAATTGTTGCTTGGGACACATTATACCCTTACTTCGAAAATAAAGCCCAAACACAGGAATTGACTGACTTTTATTTATTTACCAAACTAAATGAAATTCTAAAAAAAACAGTCTGTTACAATATATATATATATATATATATATATATATATATATATATATATCTAAGAATTTGAATGTGCGCATATCGAAAAAAATGTTTTTTTGTCTACATTGCAAAAACAAGAGCTGAATAATGTTCATTTTTGGATTCAGCGTACCTAAATTACCCTTAAAAAGTTGTTGGTTGCCATGCACCAAACAGAAATTTTATTTTTGTAGGTCAGTGTTATATTATAAGTAATGTTTTATCATTATGTAACAAAGTAGGGAAAAACCATGTAAATATCATATCATTTATATAGGACACTTGGGGGGCATCCATTAATTACGTGAGGCAATTTTGGCGATAAGATTTTTTTAAATGCATGGTTTTAATGTAAATAAGTTAAAATGTGCTTGATTCCATTAGATTTATTTAAAAAAACAATTTGCTTATAATTTTTTTTATTTAAGACTATAGTATTTAAGATTTATAGTATTTAAGATTTATAGTATTTAAGATTTTTAATATTATAATTATAACTTAAGTTAAATGTATAATACACGGTGAGAAATTTGCATTAAATTTTAGTGGAGAAACATTTTTTTACTTAATTTAACTCAGTTTTCTCGCAATTTTACACTGTTTTTTTCGGAAAAAAAAAATTTATAAACGTGATATTTGCCGAGACCACCACGTGAGATTGGGTGAGGACCGTGAGGTTTGTCTCGACCCCCTTCCCCCTCTAAATACCTCACGTAATTAATGGATGACCCCTTACTTGTTTACCATTTTGGCCTACACGTGTACATTACAACTGACGAATGCATGGAAAGACTGAGAACAACTGCAAACCGCCACAAACCCTGGAAATTGCTCGTATATGTGGTATATATATATATGTGGCCCCTAGAAACGTTCGTTCGCGTTTAGATCAAAACTGCGAGCGGCTGCGTTTGCTGACAACGTGAACAAATGAAAACGTCCGTCAGGTCTGTGACGGGCTAAGGCATTTAGGGGCCTATTCCCTTTCGCTAAACATGCATGTTCATGAACTACATATGTTTCGTAACATATGAGCCTATTCCCTTTCAATTATTTCGTATATAGACGCATGCGCTCGAAGAATTTCTTAAACATCCATGTTTATAAACATTATCGGTGTTAAATAAACCCAATAGCAAAGTTCGCAGCTTTTAACGAGTTCACGAAGAATATAGGTAAGTACAATATATAATCGCTGCCTCACGACGTCATATTAACATAGCGCAGTGGAACGCTAACTCACTGCGGAACAAGACAACCGGACTAATACATTT